GTAGAGACGGGGTCTCCTGAGGTTACCTATGCTGGTCCAAACACCTGGCCTCAAGAAATCCTTCCATTGTGACCTTCCAAAGTGCTAGGATTAAAATATGACCCACCATGCTTGGACTCCATTTTCATTTCTGATTTTAGTAATTTTAATCTTCTCTCTTTTTTTCTTAGTCTAGTTAATGGTCGTCAATTTTGTTGATTTTATTTTGAAGAATCAACTTTGGTTTCATTAATTTACTGTATTCTTTTTCCATTCTCCATTTTATTTTTATTCACTCTAATCCGTATTGTGTCTTTAAATCACTGTGTTTGGGCTGTCTCTTATACACATCTAGATGTGTATAAGAGACAGTCCTGATAGTCATACTGGGAGTCTCCCTCGTGTGGTGCAATCTACAAACATTTTTATTTGTGTGCAAATATTTGTGTGCAGCCATTCCTCAAATATCAAATTGTTTCCCTTGGGCTGGAATTCGAAAACCCAGAGAAATGTGTGGTTTATGTGCCGGGTGCAGTGGCTCACATCTGTAATCCCAGCACTTTCAGAGGCCACGGCAGGTGGATCACAAGGTCAAAAATTTGAGGCCAGCCTCTATATGGCGAAACTCTGTCTCTACTAAAAATACAAAAATTATCCGTGTGTGGTGGTGAGCACCTGGAGTCCTGTAGGGAGACCCCCCTGAAACCATTGTTATGGAACAAAAGATGAAACGCTCCTGATTATTGTAAATTCAAAATTGCATGCAGGATTGTGTAAAGACAGCCAGGTTTGGCTGCCAGAATGAGCGCGTGATATACACCCCCCTGCAGAGAGCCTATAAATGGACGTGTAGTCAGGGAGGTTTCACATCACCAAGATTCCTATCTCAGAAAAGTAGATGTTCATAGCTCTGGGAATGGAATGCAACCCTTGTGGAGAGCCTATAAATTGACACATGAGGGGCGTATGTTCATATGGATAAGATAGGGTTATAAATACCATTAACTTGCCACAGCTATTCTAGGTCTATCCAGGGTTTAGGCATACTCCCTTCTGAGAATTTTTTGGTTTAACTGGTTGTCTAGCTTCACGTCCTGTTTCTATTGATTGTTTGGAACCAGCTTTTCCTGCAACTGTTACTGCTGATTAATATCTTGCTAATCATAGGATATGGATAGACTGTGTTTCTGTTTTAAGGCTCTGTTAGAAATTACTGATGCACACACTATGTTGGAAATTCTTATCTCTGTATACTGTAATTCTGCATACCGATGTTATGTTAAAGAATTATTTCAACCCCATGTGACCATCTTACTTCATAATCAAACAACCCTAAATCCCTCACTAACCTACCTTCGCCCTCACTAAACTTAATAATAAATGTTGGTTTATCCACTGCATTGGTGGCATCACAGGACCAGAAGGCAATCCACCCCCGGACCCACTTTCACTATCGTGGGTGTGTCTTTTATTTCTTGACCAGCCAATCCACCTGGGAACAAAGAAAGAGGCCTGTTACACTGTGGGCTGCTGGCCAGATCCCACAATATAATCCCACAACTTGGGATGCTGAGGTGGGAGAATCACTTGAATCCGAAAGATGGAGGCAACAGTAAGCCGAGTTCATGCCACTGCAATCCATCCTGGGCCACAGAGTGAGACTCCATTTAAAAAAAAGAAAAGGGGGGTGGCGCCAAGATGGCCGAAAAGGAACAGCACCAGCCTCCAGCTCCCAGCGCCAACAACACAGAAGTCGAGTGCTTTCTGCATTTCCAACAGAGGTACCGGGTTCATCTCACTGGAGCGTCTTGGACAGTGGGTGCAGGACAGTGGATGCAGCCCAACAAATGAGTGCGGAAGCAGAGTGAGGCATCACAAGGGGGAAGGGAATTCCCTTTCCTAGCCAAGGGAAACTGTGACACACAACACTTGGAAAATCAGGTCACTCCCACCCTAGTAATGTGCTTTACCAAGGGTCTTAGGACACGGCACATGAGGAGATCATATCCCGCACCTGGCTGGGAGGGACCCATGCCCATGGAGGCTCTCTCATTGCTAGCACAGCAGTCTGAGATCTAACTGCAAGATGGCAGCGAGGCTGGGGAAGGGGCACCTGCCATTGCTGACGTTTAGGTAGGTAAACAAAGTGGCCAGGAAGCTTAAATTTGTTGCACTGCAGCTCATGGAGGCCTGCCTGCCTCTGTAGACTCCACCTCTGGGGACAGGGCATAGCCAAACAAAAGGCAGCAGAAACCTCTGCCAAAGTAAATGTCCCTGTCTGACAGCTTTGAAGAGAGTAGTGGTTCTCCTAGCACAGGGTTTGGGATCTGAGAACGGACAGACTGCCTGCTCAAGTGGGTCCCTGACTCCTGAGTAGCCTAACTGGGAGACATCCCCACTAGGGGCAGCTTGACACCCCACACCTCACACGGCCAGGTACACGTCTGAGATGAAGCTTCCAGAGGAAGCTTCCAGAGGAATGATCAGACTCGTTGTTCAGCAATATTCACTCTTCTGCAGCTTCCACTGCTGATACCCAGGCAAAAAGGGTCTGGAGTGGTCCTCAAGGAAACTCCAACAGACCTGCAGCTGAGGGTCCTGACTGTTATAAGGAAAACTTACAAAGAGAAAGGACATCCACACCAAAACCCCATCTGTACGTCACCATCATCAAGGACCAAAGGTAGATGAAACAACAAAGATGGCGAAAAAGCAGTACAGAAAAGCCGAAAATTCTAAAAATCAGAGTGCCTCTCCCCGTCCAAAGGAACACAGCTCCTCACTAGCAACGGAATAAAGCTGGACAGAGAATAACTTTGACGAGTTGAGAGAAGAAGACTTCAATCAAACTTCTCCAAGCTAAAGGAGGAAGTATGAACCCAGCGCAAAGAAACTAAAAACCTTGAGAAAAGATTTGACAAATGGCTAACTAGAATAATCAATGTAGAGAAGTCCTTAAACGACCTAATAGAAATGAAAACCATGAAACAAGAACTACGTGACGAATGCACAAGCTTCTGTAACCATCGATCAACTGGTAGAAAGGGTATCAGCGACTGAAGATCAAATGAATGAAAATAAGAAGAGAAGTTCAGAGAAAAAGTAGTATAAATAAATGAGCAAAGCCTCCGGGAAATTTGGGACTGTGTGAAACCCCCAAATCTATATC